TCGTCACTTTGCATTTAACACCCCCCCACCCCCCCATGGAAATAATTGTGGCGATGGCATCGAGTCCCAGAGCTCCTCAGCAGCCCTTGGTGTGCTCTGCTGTGCTGGGAAGGTCTCTGCTCTCGAGGGTCTCAAGCCTGGCACGGACAAAGACGTGGCAGCCGCGTCTCGGTAGCGCCGAGGGCGCAGCAGGCGGGGAGCTGGGAGTGAGGGGAGGAAGCTGCGCTGGAAAAATAGCCGCTCCTTTCCTGTTAATGGTGTCTTGGAAGCCAGAAGGCCCCGCTGGCAGGTGGACCGCTGCAGCTCGCTGCTGCTGGCTTTCTCCCGAAATGCCCACGTTTAAACTCTTCGCTAAATCTTGAGAACTCTGCAGCGCGGGGTTCGCTGCTTGCAATTGTTGAAATGGAGCGTTTCCACAGGATTTCATCCTTAAAAGCCCTCGTTTTTTAAATAAGCAAGTCTTGTGTTTGATAGGCCTTTCAGAAATATTGGGGGTCAAGGGGTGTCTGTCTTGCTTTTTCTCAGGCTGTTCTACTGTAATCTTAATCTTTAGTAAAGTTTATTTGTGCACTGAGATTTGAGCCTTTAACTGGTCTTACTTTGTGTGTGAATTATGTACGCGTTAAGTTTGTTACTCACGATTGTGCTAATTATTAAAATTATTCTATGTATTCTATTGTGTGCTTTGTTTACTTTTTTTTTAGTGTTTGTGTGACTACATATACTGGAGCATTTGCGTAGTCAGCTATATTTGAGCTATTTTTTTAACTAATGGGAACCTTTGTGTGCTTTTCTAAAAAAAATGGATGGGTGTTTTTGTTGTTTTAACTGGCTTGCAACGTCTGGAAATTGCTTTTAGTTGAGTGAAATATAGCCAAGACAAACTCACTCTGGCCAAGTTGCATCTACTTGTCCAGACACTGAGATTTCACAGTTGAAATCTGTGTGCCCTCCATACGCTGCATAGGCAAACTTGGCGAGGTGGCAGGAGATGGTAAAAGCAAAGGTGGCACAACTCCACTAAACTTTGCTAAATTTGATACGGCTCACCGTTGATGTTCTCTGGGCCCAAGCCAGCGTACAAACCCCCGTCTCTGTGGTGTTTGACCGTGCCAGAGGGTTTTACCACTTTCCTGGCTGGGCGTAAGTGTTTTGTGTAGACTCTTTAATGTTTTTTTTGCCATAAATGACTCTTACACTTTATTTTGTGAAATATAATGGATAAAAAGATAGCGTTCTTTATCTCCCAGACTTCACTGAGAGGTGTCACTCAAGGTAGACTGTGCAAAACTGATTCCTGTCTTCTGTGTTGCTCAGTAGAGCATATAATTAACTGCAGTAACATTTGACACCTCATGAGAGTGTTTGGGTAAGCTCATACCTCTCTGGCTATGAGAGGTATGTGCTAGGCTTGGGCAATTTTTGCTGTGTTATTCATATTTTTTTTTGGCTTGTGCTCTTTGAGGCCGTCTTCCTCCTGAAGAGCTCAGGGTTGGGGGTTTTTTTTAGCCCCAGAGTTCATACTGTGAAGCGCAGGGTGGAAGCTGGAGTTAGTTATGACTACCCCATCCTGCCACGTTTCATGTGAAAAGTCCTCTTGGACTGAGAGTTTGCATTAGTAAAGTTCTCTGAGTGCTTACCACCGTTATGTTTTCACGTAGTAGAAATAGCAACGGCAGCAAGGACGATGCATTAAAGCAGCGTAATTTGCATTAGCTCAGTCAGCTGTCAGCCCTGGTCTTTGCAGCGCGTTGTGGATACCAACTTTTGATGTACCTCGCATCTCTGTGATGTACTGATTTTTGTGTGGGTCTGTTTTAGGAGAATGTGTTTATTGGTCAATCCAAAATCTACAGCTACCTGAATCCTAACAAAACTCCTGGTGCTCGCCCCCCGCTTCAAGAAGAAAACTCTGTCATGTATCACGAGGTGAAATGTCAGGGCAAAACACTAAACGAAACCTACAGGAAAGGAGATGGTAAGATTGATCTTTGGATTGCTTGCGTCATTAAACGTGCTCCCCCCACCCCCAATCTGAAAACTTTAATGCACAGTCAAGAAGGCCAGGCAGCTCACCTGGCCCAGTTGCTTTCCCTGTCCTACAACTCCATCGGCAAACTGGGACTCTACAAAGACAAGGGTGTCCTTATCCTTTTCAAAACTTAGGTCACAGGTTTACCAGGCAATTCTTCCTCTGTTTTTTTGCCTGGCTATGTTTGTATTGTCTCTCTGGATATAAAAAGCTAATGCGTGCGTTGTCAGTATGCCCTAATCTCCCTGCAATTCTATTACTACTCTGATTCTTCAGGTCAGTGTTTGGCAGTTTATCTAAATTTTTTTTTCTGTTTTATTACCTAAAACTGGTTTATTCTATAATTTGACTACTTTATACTAATTTATATAAGGGCAATTCAAAGTCAAATCAGGTAGGAGGTAGAGGTACTGGTAGAAGAGGAAACAATCCTTATATTTTCAGGATGAAATAAAGGCAGTGAGAAGGAGGAGCACAGATTGTGGATGCTGAGTGCCAGGCTTCATAGACGCTTCACTGTAGCGACTAGAAATGGGAACGTTCCCTAAGTTTATGGAGGGGGGGGGGGGGGGGGCGGGTCTTTTTAAAAG